TTGAAACATATCAAAATACCACCTATCTATTAGGGTGTGTGTATGCACCAGAATCCATTTTGTTTCCTTTAAATTTTGTTTTGAGAGGTTTCTATTTGGATTAAAAGGTTTGAATTCTGCTATCTGTCATCCCATGTGTGAGTCACAAGCACCGGGGAGAGATTCTTTAAATGCTATTAGGTTTTTAGTAATCAAACTCTGCTTTACATTCCAGAGTCAGGAATTAGAAGAATTTTAAATAAATTTAAAAAATCAGAATCATCAAGATCAGGCTTCTTGAATGAGGGAATTAAAATTAGGAAAAAGATATCACTCACTTCTTGAAAATGTCTCAACTGTACTCTTCTCTCCCATTTTTGCTACTTTAAATTTGCTCCAAATACATAAACTTCCCTTCCTTAGGCCAAGAACAGCTTCTAGACTGTGTGTTGGAGGGACAGGAATTAAAGGGAATGTGTAGAGGTCCAGGCCTGAGATCTCACTGAGAACAATACCACACAACTTCAAAGCTATGAGAAATACTCTTGTGGAGTGGAAAAAATGACACTCGAAAAGGACAGAAGGGGCAGAGAGCTAGACAAACCTGGTGGCTGCAATGAAGATAGAGTGTGGTATGCACTCCCAGCCAGATTTCAACCAGGGGGGGTGACAGGAATGACTTAAGGTTGTCTTACTTTCTGCTCCTAGGAATGGCAAGTCTTCCAGTTACTTGGGGACTGAGCATAGGACCAACTCAGATGTGGGAGTGAGATGCAGGAGTTAGTACTGTGATGCCTGTGTGCTGGGCTCCTGCCCTGCCCCCATCAGTGTCCCATGGAGAGCCACTCAGGAGAAGGGTGGAAATCTGGAGTGGGCAGAGAGATATTCCTCTGTGTCCACATAGCCTGCTTCACAGATAATCTCAGTAGTGATTCACACATCTATAAATCGGGTCAATCCAGGTTCCTCCACAGCTTCATAACTATGCAATATAAGAGGAAAACAATATGGGCTAGCAGCAGGTTCAGGCAGCAAAGTCGAATTTTGCATTGTCCAAGGCAAGTGTGAGGTATCCCTACATGCCCAAGTGGAGGAATCTCAGAGATGGGAAGGTGTGAGACTCCTGCATGGATGTCCAGGTGGAGAATTCTAGGAGTTTGTTTGGTGTGAGACACCCACATGGACATCCAGGTGGAGAAGTATAGGAGGTGGTTAGTCTGGAGTCTAGGACGCTGGTGAATAGGCACATTTGTGGCTTAGCACCAAACACTTACGCTGGGGGTCACTGTAAGATAGGTTGACGATATAATAATCCACAGCCTAGATGAGATTCTAGAGGAGAAAGATTTGCAGATGGGTGACAGTTGGGCAAAGGAGAAGCTGGCCATGAAGGGTCTGCAGTGACACATTCATGCAAGAGGTGCTTTGAGGTGGGTGAGAGTAGCCACTGCTGAGACTATGAGAAGTAAAGGTCAGTTTTCCAGCTCTGACGGTTGGGTGGACCTGGAAATGAACAGTGCCATTGATCATGGAAGTAGATCTTGACTGGAATGTGTGGGGAGAGATGGATTTCAGGACACAGACTTGTTCTGGATAAGCTTTGCTATGAAGGGAAACAGGGGAGGCCAAGAAGGGGTTTCTGCTGAGAGCCTAGTGTCAAGGAAGGTCTAGACAGTTTTCATAAGATGGGCACACGACAACATACTTGTCTGCTGATAGCAATAATGCAGCAAGGAAGACATCGAACCATGACAGAAGAGGGGTGGCACCAGGGTGGCTGGCCAGTGCCCCCGTCCATTGTAAAGGAGGAGTAGGTGAGGAACGTGTTTTTGCTGTGCAGCAGGTGAAGGTACCACACAGGCTTTTCCTGCTGTGAAACGCCATCAAGGTCAAGGGCGATGGTGACACAGTGGCTGTGTGTGCACGCATGTACACGTGTGCACAGGCACACCAGCACACAGATGAGTTGCTGGCATGTGGCAAGAGGAGAGTGATAAAGCAGACATGTAGACAGTGGGAATCACCGTCTGTGTTGAGGGTTCCTCTGAGAACTGGAGTGAGGGATTTCAGGTGAAAATGACTGGCATGGCAGCAAGGTGAAACCAATCTCAGTAAGAGGCTCCCTGCTGCCCAGAAATCTAGAAGGGAGGTAGATGAAGACACATATTTGCAATAAAGCACAACAGTTCCTGAGAGCAACGAGTTGGACTCAGTACACATTGACAAATGAGAAGAGGTAGTAATTGGAACAGGAGGTTGGTATGGACTATAGAGACTTCCAGGTATGGTCAGAGCTAGATACAGAAAATGAGACACAAGGGACGTGGGTCTTAAAAGACCAGAAAGAAAGCCCAGCAGGAGCCTGCTGGGTGGCGAGGAGGGGTAGCTATAATGCAGGTTCACAGGGATGGGCACTCCCTGAATTAAGGGGTCCCCTTTGCTCCTGGTTGTAGATTTAGTAATTCACACCTACTGCCATGTGGAAGGCCCACAGTGAGGAATGAATGAATGAACAAACTGTGCAGTAAACTGATGAGGGCAGAGACCCTCTTTTGATCTGTGACTTAAAATATGAAACATAACACAGCTCAAAGAGCACAGGGGCCCAGTCAGAAGGAAGAAGGGGATCTCCAGACACCCAACATCAGGAGAGATCAACACTGGTCTGGACTAGGAGTTGAGGTTACAGCTGTTCTCAGAGGGGCAAGGACCTGGGGCTGGGTTCCTATATGTACATGTGAATGGCTCATATGGCTGTAGGGTTGTGGGGTGAGGGGAGATGGCACTGAGTCCCCTAGTACTGTAAAAGCTGCTTCACTGCTTCACCTGAGAATAAGGACTGGGACTAAACCACCCGCCTGCTGTAGAGGACAGAGTACACTGAACCAGACCTGAGGCTCATGCTATTGAGAGCCACTCTATATAATTTTTGGAGAAAAATCATTTCCTAATTAAATTATGGTTAGGGCACCTAAAGCCTAGTACCTTGCTGTGAGAGCTGGCTATGGTATGTGGAAACATAACTCCTGTCACAGTTAAGGACTCAATGGTCCCATGATGCTGTGACACTCCAGGTCAAGATTACATCAGCTGAAAACATCCTGGATCTTTGAGAACCTAGTAGTAATAAAGAAAAAAAAGAGAGAGAGAAAGATTTCACCTGGGAAAAAGGACAAATTCCTTATTGGCCTCCTATCTCATCCCACCTACTATTGTAAAAATGCTTTGCCCGTCTCACCATCCTCATCAACATAAGAAGATCCTCCTCAGCATAAGATCACTGCAGCCCTCTGAGTCACCCAATACTTCCTCTGGTTATTGGGTGCACCTATTAAATAATGGCTAGCTCAGAGTGTCTTTGTTTCTGCCTACTCTGGCACTGATCTCCCAGCCTCTCATGTACTTTGAAAGTATGCCTGTTTTACTTTCTTTAGCCTTTGCCACACTCCTCTCTAGGTAGATCAGAAGATTGATCAGTCTCCATATCATGCCAGGGTGGAGCAGAAACTTCAAGGTGGGAAGTTGATACAGGGGTAGATGCTGAGACATGGGGAGAAAATGAAAAACTTCTTATGCAGAAGCTCGCAGGACCCATACCTCCCTGCTGAACATATCATGATTAAAAAGAAACCACAAATCTATTTCCCTCCTAGAGAACACGCTTCCCAAATGGCCCTGATGCTTCCAACCTCTGGCCTTTCCCAGATAGAGTTATGCTGATGGCATTGGCCCATATCTACCTGGGTTTGCTCCCAATCTTGGGGCACTCTGCTCTGGAACCCACAAGCTATCCTTCTGAGCTGGTGTGCAAAGGGGGAAGGGGAGGCACATCTTGTCCACACTGAGACTGGTAATGGGACCCAGCCCTTTCCCCAGTGACCACCCTCCATGACACAGTAGCCCTCTCTGCCATCAGTCACTCTGAGATAAGGATGGCACTCGGGAGAGACACTTAGCCCCACTCTCACCCTGCACTGGTGCTGAAGACACAGCAAGCTCCCAGGGACACCAAGATGCACGGCAGTCAAATGCTCCATTAATCCAGCCTGGGCGCACAGCATCAAGGAAGCACCAAGAGTCAGGCAATTGCCAGGGCCTCAGGCAGCTCTGAAAAGTTCCTGCCAATCACTGGTGGTGGCCCCACCCCTGCCCATCAGCCTAAGAATGCACATTCTCTCCAGCACTGCACACAAGCCGGTCTCAACATGCACATTTGTAAGCACAGGGCTTGTTTGAGTACAGGGATTAATTCAGCAAGTCCTCCTCTCAAGATCTCAAGACCAGCACTGAGGAAGAGGAGACAGCCCCCAAGTGGCAGCTCATCTTTAAGTGGTTTGGCAAGGACATTTCTGCCACACAGAGAGGCACCCGAGTAACAAGCCTTCTTCAGGAGCTAATTATCTTGAATGAAGAGTGCAGTGAAATTTCAAACACAGAGCAAGACTGGTTTAGTCCATGCTGACTTCTGAGAGGAGTCAGTCTGCAGCTCTGTGGACAGATCATTGAATCACTCGGCTGGGAGTGTGGTCATTGGCCTTGATGTGGCTGCAGCTGCACATTGGTGGCCTTGACGGCGGCAAAGTATGTGGTCAAGAACCCACACAGTCACTGTGCCCCCACTTCATGGGAGAACTCCCTATTTTATACCTTATACCTGGTGGCAGATGCCCACACTACTGATTTCTGGGAGGAAGGAAATGTTTCCTCCACCACTCCCATCAACTCAGCACCTGTGAAACAGCTGAAGAGCTGTGTGTTTCTGTAGGCTTCTCTGCTTTGCTTCTTTGCAACTGATCTTCCAAGAGGAGACACCAGATTTGGATCTCGAAGGGTACCCAAAATGTTAAATCTGTGACACTCTTAGCCAGAATCTCCAACAAGAGAAGGACCCACTACAGCAACAACTGCTCCTATGGAAGGAGCATCAGCACCGAGTCCTTGGAATCAGTCCATGCACCACCTGACCCAAGACACCACCAGAATAGGACGCGCATGCGTGAGGCCTCTCTCACAGAACTCACCGGCCCGGTCCCGCTCTGAAGGATCCTCAGTCCAGATGTCTCTGCCAGCTGGTTCTTGTGGTCAGCTGTTGGGGAAAACAAAGAAGCAGAGGGTTATTGTGGGGAAGGAGCACAGCTCTCCAGGTACAACTGGACATTTACCCCCAAAAAGGAAGTCACCACCCACATCAGCAGGGCCATGGTGGTGATCAAGAGCCAGGTGTCCTGCTGAGCCCTGGTTCTCTCTTGGGCCACTGTACATCACAGGCCTCAGCCACATGATGAGGCCACCAGACCTGGTGAGGAAGTGTAGGTGAACATGCTTTGCAAACTGTAAAGTCTCATTTTAGAATGATGTGATGTTAGTCCTTATCCAGTCACTGGGAAACAGCGTTTGATTAATTAATATCACATTTTCATAAAAGACGCCCCTGGAGCTAGAACTGGATTTTTGCTAATAGTGCTGGAGTTCTGATTCCCCTTGCTTCTGCCCTTTCAAGAAGCATCCAGGGTGATTTAACTCTGGTAAAAGCTTCCCTCTAGTTTGCTACTGACTTTGAGTGAAGATTCCCACAAAATGAATCGCACTCAAAGTCACACCTGCATGAGTTAGGTTTGGAAACATTCAGTGGTATCAATGACAACGCAGGTTCCTGGGGAGAGATGGCAAACCCACTTGCCCAACTGCATAGACAGGAAGTGTGTCAGAAGGCCTGGATTATGGTTCTGTAGGAATATCCTTTTGGATAAAGCCCCTGACACTTTGCAAATGAAAACCAGAAAAAATAGAATTTTATTCCAAACTCCATGAAAGAAGAGTGCATTTAATCACAATTGTGATTAATATGGAATGAGAGAGCAAGAAAACAGCAATCACTTCACCTCTTATTACCATACACCTACAATAATCTTGGGTAATGAAATGACATCTTTCAGAGGGATACAAATGAGATCTCATCCCTGACCACCATCCTGACCTTCTCAGCCTTCCACTGTCTTCTGGAAGTTTTCCCTTTGAACAACAGACATCTTTTACACATAGGTAAGTGTGGCTGTACTGAGTGTGAGGTGACCTAAAGCAATTCAAGTCACAGCAAAGGACTGAAGATTCCTGGGGGCGTGGGGCAGGGAGAGCAGTCCAGGGGCAAACTGAATGGCAAAGAGTATTTTTAAAGACACAGAACACAAAGCAATCCATTTAATGGTTTCTTGCAAACAAAAGAAACATTTTATTGAATGGCAAGCTATATGGGGGTGGGACAATAGTGAACTCTTTCAAGCAGGCTGAGGAACAGAAGTGCACAAAAATGGAAGTAAAACTGGTGGTCTTTGCAACAGAGCATGAGATTTCAGGGTCAGAAATGAGAAAAAAACCTTCCAATCGATAACCAAGTAGACTAACCCAACTGAGGGTTAGCAAGCTTTTCCTAGGAGGGGTAGGACAGTGAGTGTCTTGGGCATGGCAGCCCCAGATCCCTGGCTCCTCCACCTTGCCTTGCAGAGGGCCCATGGCACACATTGGACTGTGTGCACCCACTAGAAGGGCAGCTTGTGTTCTCATGAAACTATTCCCGAGTACAGACAGCACCTTCCAACAAGGCCACAGAACCTGGCCAGATCTCTGGGAGGTGCACTGGCTGCTGGACAGAGCTGCTTGGAAGCTGGTCTTGCAGGCGGGGATAGGAACTGCAAGGAGTGCTGCTTTGCGCTGCTTGCTGTGCTCCCTGGATCCTGGCATGGGAAAAGCACAGGCATGTTTCTCTGAGCAACTGAGAAGAGGGCTTGGAATGTGAGAGCTTGCCAGGAGTTAGTCCACCTGCTTACTCCCACACTGTCCTTCTGAGGTGTTGCAAGAGTGATTTGTGGTGAGTCAGAGAGAGCTTTATTCCGTCAGCACACATTATCCCAAGTAACCACAAAGCATGCATCTGTCCCACGCCACAGCCCCTCAGTGCCGGGAGACCAGGCTCTCTGTGGTGTGTCCCAGGCTCAGCTGCTTTGCCTGTTTGTGAACACAGACACCACCAGTGCTAGGTCTCTGCTGATGCACACAGAGGGGCAGAAAAAGGAAAATTCTGTCGACCCAATGTTCACATTTCAGTTCCGAGTTATTTTTTAGCCAAGTTCTGAATGTTAGTTTGGAGAATGAGCCTAGGCCAGCAGGCCAGGACAGGACAGCAGGACACTGCTTCAGGGAAGGCAGAGAACAATGTGGGAAGCCCATTGTTATCTTTTTTTGGGATTCAAAAAGGCCTTCTAAACACAGAAAAGAAGTCTTTTAAAATTAAATTCGCTAGATGAAGGATATGCAAATTACCTGAAGAAGCGGAACCCTGTAATGTTCTCAAAATTCTGCAGTAGCCTATTTAATTAGTATTTTAATTTATCAGAATAATTCTTTGCACTTGACAATTTATGCAGTATTCCATATAATTAAGCATGTAGCTCAGCGGAATGGGTTTGCCTCCCCTCTCTGTCCCCACTATTCTAACCTAAAGGAGTGTGCAGAGGTCTCCTCTGTGATCTAAATGACAAGGGAGCAACTTAGTGGCTTTGCTCCGTAAGAGTTACACTGTGCAGGAAGGCCCGAGGCTGGCTCCTGGACAGCTCGTCACACAGTGCACCTTGCACATCTCCACACCCCAAGTCTGGACAGCAGAGTCAGTCATTACCTGGGTGATTTGGGGACCCTGAAGAACCCATAGGCCCCCTGTTTCAGCTTGATCTCACAAGAGGTAACCCAGCTTAGGTGTCGTCAGTCTCCCTTTTCACTGGTGTGCAAAGGCTGCCCATTTGGACAGGAGAGGCACCGAGTGGGGACTGACTCAGTACCTGGGGTCCAAGTCACCCTCTGCTTCCTTTTCTTTTCTGTTTTGTTTTTCTGAGACAGGGTTTCACTATGTAGTTCAGGCTGGACTTGAACTCTGACACCCAGGCTGGCCTCAAACTTGTGGCAATCTTCCTGCCTCAGCCTCCCAAGTTCTGGGATTATAGGCGTGCACCACCATGCCCAGCCTTGATCCACCTTTTCTACATTAGGACCCAAGGTGGTCTCAGACCAGTGTCCAGGTGAGGCAAGCCTAGGGCCGAGGGTAAGAGACAACATTTACCTGTGGGAGGAGACCTATGTGGCTCCCACTCTCTGCAGCCCCTTCCTCACATCCTTCTCTTCAGGGAGGGCCAAGGACAGAGCAGCATCTGGTGGTGGCCACACTGGATCTGCCCTGGACTCTCACTCTGGTGAGAAGCTGGCACTTGGGAGAGCAGTGCATCCGATGCTGCACACTGCATTCTCCCTATGTAGGTGCACCTGTGATGAAGCTTCATCTTATTTTATTTATTTACCTTATTGAGTTTACTGGTACATTTTAGGTATGCAGTACAGTTACAGTCATCACTGGGATCTTGTACCTTTACATGACAGATGTTGGTTCTCATTTTCTCCCCATACCCCTGCCCTCCCTTCACCCCTTCCTCCCTTCCCTATTTACAAAACCTTTTCTTTTTCCATTTTTTTGTTTTCTCATATTTTTTATTTTCCCTTATTTCCTTTCCCCTACCCTTCCCACTCCCCCTACACCTTTAGCCTTTTCTTCCTATTTCACATTATCAGTTATACAATTTGGATCTTATTTACACTTTTAGTTTTTCACACCAGAGAAACTATTTGGTATTGAAGCTTTATTTTAAATGAGCACTGTAAGGTGAACGGCAATGAGCAAGATTAAGTAGGACAATTACAGCAATATATCACACTAGAACCTCTATATTCTTTGTTACTGGTTCTGCGAAGTACAACAAGTACCCAACTTAGCAAGGGCCACACAAAACATTATCAGATACAATTTGGATCTTATTTACACTTTTAGTTTTTCACACCAGAGAAACTATTTGGTATTGAAGCTTTATTTTAAATGAGCACTGTAAGGTGAACGGCAATGAGCAAGATTAAGTAGGACAATTACAGCAATATATCACACTAGAACCTCTATATTCTTTGTTACTGGTTCTGCGAAGTACAACAAGTACCCAACTTAGCAAGGGCCACACAAGTTATTTATGTCACCAGGCTATTGACATCAAGTTCTAGTTTGAACATCGGGTACCACATAAGCTATGAGTATCAGGACAAAATTCTTGTGTCCAAATGCATGAAGTACCAAATTTGATGAATTTCTAAGCAGTTCAGTACTGGTATCTGGTTGCACAGTGAAAGTTATGGAATGTGGCATCTCTTTCTTAAGGGATCTGTTGTAACACAGATCCCCATGACTTGAGTGCATGATGTTGACCTCAGCGAATGGAGAAGTCCCTTTCACTTAAAGGAAGCACTTTATAGTTCATCGGAATTACTGCCCTGTGCTCAGGAGCCAAGGACCCTGTGACAGTCGACCTGGCCCCTGGGTACCTATCAGGCTGGCACATGTAAAGTGTGGATTCACTAGACAGAGCGTTCCCCTGGGGCAGGCTGAAGTTCTGGATGCAGTTGCAAGGCCCCTCAGGATCCAATCTCTGCAGCCACTGAATGTCACCTCCAGTGTCCCCTCCTTGGCCTCCAGTTCAGCTCCTTCTATTGGAACCCAGGGCACACACCTGCTCCAGGGCCCTTGCCCCACTGTCCTTCCTGGGAATCTGCAGGACTGTTGCCCCTGCCTGGTGTGAAATACACCTCACCCCATTGGATGCCCATCCCTCATCCTGCCTGGTGTTGTTGGGACACCGATCATCTTCTGTGAGGACATGTACTACGTGACACGAGTTCAGCAAAGGCAAGATTCACACTGCTTCTCAGGACACTCTTGGTGACTTCCAGAGGAGAGGACAGCCCCACACCCTGGTGGCAGTGTTGAACCATGGCTGCTCCACCTTCCTTACCTGTGTCACTTCTACCCTCTGAAGGACAGCTTCCAGCTCACAGGGACTCTGAGCAACTCAGTGAGGAGTCTCCTACTTCTCCTGCCAGAGGCCTCCATGAGACTGGCTAGAGATCATGCAAGGTGCATACTTGAGCTCAGCCAGCTCAGGGATCCCATTGCCCACAGTGACACATGTGGTGACACAGTGATGTGGAGCCTGGCTGGATCTA